ATGGTATGATACGATGGTTTAGTTTATTCACATAAGCAAAAAGATCATTAGCAAAAATAAATAATTAGAACAATGACTTTTATCTAAACAAACTTATTGTAAACAACGATTGAAACTTTACATCTGCTGGCGTCTTCCACAGTTCCACGAGTCTTTTTACGTCATTTTTCCACAGTTTACATCATCAATCTTTTCATTACTAACATTCTTTAGCCAGCAAGTGTCACTATATTGACATTAACAATAAATTAAATGGCTCATACAAAAAGCATGTTAGCATAAGGCAAACAATGCAAAAAAAAAAAAAACACAAAGGGGTCTGAATACTTTCTGAATGCAATAACTGCTTAATATTTTTGTGCCGTTTTATTATCGACAAAACGAAAATGTGCACCAAAAAAAACAGCTAAATTTGCTGTCTCCAGCCTGTTTCCATCCAACTGGCATAAAATGGTGTGCATAAGTTCTCAAAAAATGTAGTTGTTTCTATACATCATTTCACATATTGTGCAAAGGCTAGTAGCCCATCTGTTCCTCATTCCTTTAAAACAAAACTTTATTATATACAGTAGGTAATTATTATTTTACATACAATTCTTTTTATTAACAAGTGTCCTGAGTGGTTTTTTTGTACTTTGTTATTTAGACTGGGTTTAGATCAATACTACTTGATCATCAAGCAATAAGCTATTCAAAAGCAGGCACAGTTATATTATTATTATTATTATGATTAACATTTATTAGGCTTTATTTGAAATTAGGCATGTTCATTTAGTTTTTTTCTCCTAACCGACAACTAACGCTTGTTAAGCGATTGTTAACCATTACAAATTTACAAGATTATGTTAAATTAGAACTAAATTAATTTAGAATGGATAAATGGCTGACGCATTAAAAATACCAAAATTTGACATGCGCAAAAAGCAGCATAAACAACAGAACATGAGGATTCACATGGTCATATCATGCTTCTGAAAATGGAGAAAAACATAATTAAGCTATAAATAAAAATACATTTATATATGCCTATATGCAAAATATATTTTTATTAACAATTAATAAGTTAACAAAACGAAAGAAAAAACTGTGCAACAAATATCAGTCTAGCTATGCAGCATTTTGGTTGATTTTGCACTGCACTCCACAAACAACTTCATAAGGCAGCATCCTGTTTGTTCCTTTATTTTACAAAAGTACAATATTTTGTTTTTATTGTGAATGTACAGAAATAAAATAAGTATTTTGAATCGTTTCGAATGATGTTGTTTCCAATTTTATAAGGGAAAAAATCAAGTGATCGTGCAAACACCTCATGCGCACACAGTTCTAAGTATTGCTAACTTGACAACACAGCCTGTTCATTATAATAATAAAATACAGTCAGCCAATCATAGTGAAAAACCACACTGCTCAATTTAAATAGCCTGTACAATCTGTGCTGCTCGGCTTGACCACCATATTGCTGTGATATTATGCCAAGCACATTTTGTTTTATGTGGATATTGGA